CTGATACACAAAGACAGGATGAGCCCGAGTGACTAGTTCTGCAATCCTGTTCATGTTGAACCCGGAGCGTGTGGGCATGACAGCAATTCCAGAGATGGATTGACAGATTTGTAAACGCTCTTCCAGGCCCCTCTGGCAGCTCCTTTAATAAGACACTTTATGGCTTTTTTTTTTTTAAACTCTTGGTGGGGAGATACTACCTGGAGTAGAGAAGACAAAAGTGACGTTGCTACCCAGGCTGGGAGGATCTGGTCACCCTGGATCCTATTTGTACCCAATCAAAGATCTCACAACACTTGATTGGTTTGTTGTTGTTGTTTCAAAGAATTAGATGGTAAAGTCCCTTTTCCTCGGTCCCATTGGGAAGGCAGTGCTGACCATCTTCAAGAGAAACATGCGCAAAGAATTCTCAGACCTCACGGACCTGCCAGTACCTGCCCTCCAAGAGGGTGACTGCATATTTCAGATCAGGTTGTATCTTTTATGCCCCTGCCCCATCTTTAGAAAATTTTGGCTCTTCCGACATTATCATTATTTGTTATTAAAGAACGATCAAGATGGATACTGCTAAGGAGTTGAGGATGTAGCTCACATTTGGTAGAGGGCTTCCCCTAATCCCTAGTGCTGCTTTATGCCGGGCATGGTGGTACATGCCTCTAACCTCAGCAGACGTTCAAGGTCACCTTCAGATACATAATTAAGTTTGATGCCAGTCTGTGCTGCACGAGACCCTGTTTTGTTTTTAAAGATTGATGCTGATAAAATGTTTACTATCAGTATTATGAAAACAGTAGGAAGAAAAATATGGCCATGACATTTCAAGGAGGAAAAAGGGAAAATTAGGATCAAGACATGCTTTAAGATTTGCACACTTATGGTAGGGTGGTGGTGGTGCACATCTTTAATCCCAGCACTCGGGAGGCAGAGGCAGGTGGACCTCTGTGGGTTTGGGGCCAGCCTGGTAGGGTCAGCTTGGTCTACCAAGCTAGTTCTGGGACAGCCAGGACTACACAAAGAAACCCTGTCTTGAAAAACAAAAACAAAAAACCACTAAGATTTACGCACTTACTGGCTTCCTCCCTTCCTCCTATAACGAGTCTCTTTCTGTCCCACCAGCCAGCTCCCAAATAATGACACAGAGACTTCTTATTAATTATGAAAGCCCAACCTATAGCTTAGACTTGCTCCTAACTAGTTCTTATAACCTAAATTAACCCTTTTATATTAACTATGGTCTGTCACGTGGTGTTACCTCTCTTCCACCTTGCACCTCCTGTGTCTTCTCCATGTCTCCTGGAGTCTTCTATGCACTTAGATTCCTCCCCCTCTTCCTTTCTCTCCCCGGAAATCCCACCTATACCTCCTGCCTAGCTATTGTCCCTTCAGCTTTTTATTACACCAGTCACAACAATACATCTTCACACAGTGCACAAATATCCCACAACATCCCCCTCTCTCTGCCCAGGCTTTTTGAGAATCAGAGGCAGAGCAAATCATTTCCATATATGATCCCAGTGAGGGTTGAGCTCCTTCAGGAAGAAGCCAGCCTTTGTGGCACATGGCCTATCCAGTCATTGGCCCTTCCTGCAGGGCTAGAGCTGGTCCTAGGTTTAGAGGGTCAAAGGTTGGATTCTAGTTCCAAATCTCTTCCGTGCCCCTGTCCCCCACCAGGGTAGGCTTCTGTTCTTATGGGCCTTAGGCAAATGCTGCTCCAGTGTAGGTGACCTTGGAAAGTGAGTTTTGAGTCATAGGGTTTTTTTTTCTATTTGAACTTGCATAAAACTTATAAAAAGTAGTCCCTTGCTGTATGCTTTCAGCATGGATCACAGAGCTGATTGACAAGTTCTGTGTCGGTTTGCATCTTAGCTGATGCTCAATGGTATTCATGAAGATTTGGTTCTCTTAGAGCACCAGTAAGTTATCCTCAGTGAAGCCAGGAGGGACCACAGTGGCCTCGGCTTGAAAGTCACTGACTTTGTGCACTCTCATTAATGGGAAGGATATTCACGATGTGGCCACATAGTGCTAGGATCTTTCAGGCCACTAGTCAAGACTTATCAAGGTAACAGTAACCCAAGGCATGCCAGGTCAAATACTGTGGCACATTTAGGAATGAGAAAGTGGGCAGCTGTGGTCTGCAAGGTGTCAGTGGCATCAGCCAACAGCCCAATAAGAGATGCCACCTTAGCTCCTGGAGCCCTAGAGCAGGGGTGTGGAGCCACTTCCCGTCACTGATGGCAAGACTCCCCTGGTGCCAGACTCCTTGGAGACCGATGGGGACCAAGTAGCCTTGCTGCCCCTCTTCCTCAACTACTGGTGTGTCCCGTCCTGCCTCACTGGCCATGTGTTTTGAACATGTCTTGCTGAACTTCAGCTGAAAGTTCTTCTGTTGCCCCGAGATTGACCAGCCTTTGGCCCGGGGCCTCCTACAGCTGGAAAGCCTACCACCTTCAGGGAATCTCTCTTTCACCTGTGTGGCCTTTCAAGAGGAAGATTCCACTGGGAAAATGCAGCAGCTGCCTACCACTGCTCACCCAGCATGCAGAGTTGGTCCCGGTGTCCCCCGCACAGCCTCTGGAGGGCTGAGAACAGGAACCTAAACCGACCTTTAAGTAGACACCACCAGCCCGATGGCTGGAGGGCCAGCCTGGTTTCCTGGTGGCCCACCAGGTACCACTCTGACCCCAGTTCACATTTGCATGACTGACACCCTTGAAGAGAGTAAGACAAGAATTTTAGAGCAACGGCCTGCACTCAGAACAGAGATGACCTTTGTCTTTCTCTGAAAACACAGCACACACTAAAATCTGCATCAGGACAGGTTTGGGTTTAAAATAAGTGGATCATGTTCCTCACTGAGCCTCCTCTGAGGAATGTGTTGGCATCTCTGGTTGTACCTCAGTGGAGTGGGCTTCAGGCTCATCAGGAAAAGATGTGTGGCCCCTTATCAGGACAGAGTGTGAGAGGCTGCTGCCACCTGGCCTGTCACCATCCTGGGACCCCGGGGACATTTTCTCAGCATCAGACCCCAACAGCTGTCTCATCCACTTCTCAGAATCTCATCTGAGACATGAGAAACGCTGCCCGTTGCTTAGCTCCCCCAAGAGAATTCATTTTGTCAGGGAGAATGGTTGCATAGTGAGGCGCACTTTCTGGGGAGTCCTGTGCCAACCAGAACCGACCAAACTGCATCCATGGTCAGGGCCATGTCTTGACCAAGCAGCTGACAGCACTCAACACCTTAGTGGCTGCCAGGTGCCATTCTTGGCAAAAGGAAATGAGAAATATCAAGTTTTATGTCATAGACAGTGACCAGGTTCCGTTTCATATTCTTTTTTATTTAAGTTTGCCAGTTGGGGTCAAATAGGAAAACCCTGGAGTTCTCTGTAGAGAGGGGAAATAATGATCCCCTCTTCTCTTTCCCCTGTACCCAGCTTCCAATTCATTTATTCATCCCCAGGGCACAGGTCACCCTGACAGTGGTGAGGCCATAGCAAAGGCAGGTGGATCTCTGGGCTCCCTGGCCTGCAGGGGGGACACTTGGGCATGTTTCCCTGGCCCCTGGGACTTGTCCAGTCACATAGAGCCTGGATTCGGGCCCTGAAGACCAGTGAGTTGCTGACCTAGTGAAGTTGTCACTGTGGGAAAATTCCCTTTAAAAAAAGGCACAGCCAGCTCTTTCGTCAGGCCTGAAACTAAGTGTACCTCACAACAGATGAATGCCACTTGGCACCTTTCTAGGAAGATGTCAGTATTATCCATGTTACTTGTCACTGTGTTTTCTGCACTGAATGAAAAAGACTTATCTTCATAGCTGTATCTTAAATACTGTGATTTCTGTTTTTGTTTTTTAAACACTTTGATACAAGTAGTTGACTAGCTTGTGATCGTGTGTCTAATCCCCAACACCTGGAATCTTCTAAGTCAGGGTTCGGTGCGGTTTATGTTCAAAGCCTGGCTCTTGAACCCGCTCGACACACCGCTGCCCATGAGTGCACACCCCACACCTGAGCTGTGCACCATCTCTCCCCAATGTGTGAATCTGCTCCTTTAGTCAATTCTTTTTTTTCTCTACCCTTGCAACAAGTGTAAACCAATCTGTTTGTATCCATCTCTGCCAGCCAGGCCTTTCTGAACCCTGGCTGGAAGTCACCAACCTTACACCAGAGTTTCTATCAAGGCCACTGAGTAGGCTTGTCGGGTTAAAAACTGTCTGCTATTCAGGGAATTGTTACCTATGAATTACCAAAGAACTGTGGCAATCTGAGCTGTTCCACTTCGTCCCCACGTCATTTCCAGTGTCCTGGCCACATTTCTACACGGTGTGTCTTCGTAACACCCTCCAAGTTCCACAGTCCCATCACACTAGAGCCCAAGGGGAGGGGTCTGATGGACACGCACGAGGACATGATCATTTCCAAAGCAAGGTCTGAGCCTGGCTTTCTGCCACCTGCTCACGACTGTCCTTGGTGCCCGACCTGGGGGCTTGCAGCCCTTCACTTCTGTGATAAGAACAGTTCTGAATGGGGATTATTGAGCTGGTGCCAACGGCCTCTCGCACCTCCCAGCTGTTTGTGGATACAGGGCTACCCCGGACATCAGGAATCCAGGGTGAACACAGAAGGGCAAATAGAATTTTCTAGTCATATGAACTGATTGGTTCCAGGCAATTAGAAAATGGCTATAACTTAACCTTAATTAAAAAAAAATACTGAGTCTTCATTTTCTCCATAGGAGATTGAACTGACTATATGCATTGATTTATATCCTGAATTTATGGGAACCTGTATGTTTGGAATGTCCTACTGTAAGACTGATGAATGTAAAGAGTTAATTTCAGGGTACAGTTTTGCCTTAATGGTTTAAAAAAAATAAACTATTTTTAAAAATTAGCTGGTTCATTTTGAATGATGCTGGGACAGGGCTGGTTTGCACAGACCAAGCCTCACAGACTGGCCCCGATGGGATGCACGGGGTGTCCAAGTAGGTCAGTGAAAAGGTTACTTAAACCATTAGTTTATTCTTCAGGTTTTTAATTATAAACATGCTACAGGGTAGAGGTTTAAATCATTCCCCAGGCATTGCCCAGGATATGACGTAACCCTTGCATATCCTCGGGCCTTGCCACTGGCCCTCAGAGGCTGATTTCCCTACAGGCAGATGACATCATGTTACTTGGAAGTCCTGGACAGAAGCTAGGAGTCTCCACAGGTACATCTACAGGAAGTGTCTACCAACTGTCTGCTGAAGGAGGCTCCCTTTCCCTCACTCCTGACCTCCACCAGAGGCCAGCCCTGGAGCTGCAGCTGGATCCACTCTTGCTGTCTGTCCTCAGTCTTGGCCGGCTCCTCAGTTCCCAGGACTGCAGGTACTCCACAGTTCAGAGAAGGCCAGATACACAGCTCCCAGCCGAGCCAACACAACAATGCACAGGAGGAGGCTGTGTGCCCGCCAGTCAGGGATGGCTGGAAGGTCTCTTGGAGGCGCCCTTTCTCTTCTCCACATCCTGCCGGATTTCCTGAGGGAAAGCACTGATATTCTCCTGAACGCAGGGGAGGCAGACCCTCTTGGAGTAGAACAGGCTGCAGTCCTGTGAGAGGGAACAGGGCTAGAACATTGGGGGACACAGTGTCGCCTCCCCCACATAAGGCACAGGGAGACGCAGCAACCTGAGCAACAACAACAACAAAAAGCACCAAGGGCTGGCGGTGGCCATCCTGCTTGAACTTCTGAGGAACAATCCCTTGCAATGGAGATCACCTTACTAACAAAGTATCGGTTAATCCAAGAAAGGGGAAGATGCATAGCATTCTTGAGGCAACCCCCACGTATGCTTGCCAAGCACAGCCCAAATCCAAGGAGTGGCACTTGAGGTTCCTCAGAGGCTGGCCCCAGCCCACTCTTCCAGTCTGTTGACCTCAAACGCTCCCTCCAGTCTTTCCTCCAAGTGGTGGGACCTGAGGCTCCTGCCACCATCCCATACATCAACCAGACAGCAAAGAGAGGGGACAGTTGTTGGGCATGACCTATGGCAAGGCCCCTTGTGTGCACTGACCCTGCAGCAGGTGCCCGGGGACTCTCAGACTACTGTAGGACTACTGCAAGGCCAACTGCTAAGATTTCCTCTACTCACCCCAGGCTGAGACGCTCTACCTGCCCTCACTGGCCCCTTCCTTTTGCCCTTCTGACCCCAAGGATAGGCTATCTGTCATCTAAGAACCCCCACCCCTTTTCCAGCTGGTGATCAGGAGGTCCCCAGATCTGGGGGCGGGGGGGGGGGGGGCGCGCAAAAACGGGAAGTTCCCAGGTGTACCTACCGGGCCCACACACACCAGCCTGCCGCACACACTGCACCGCGCGCCGAGGACCAGAAACCTGGCCTTGTCTGAGGAGAAGGGATCCTTCATGATGTAGCTCTCCTCCAGGAGGCTGTAGAAAAGGGACATTCTGCTGTGAGCCATGGCAGAGATGGACAGCAGCAGCAGGAGCCTCAGCAGGAGGAACTAGTTTACCTACGCCCCGTGGGGAAATGGTAGAAAGCCTGGCAGCTGGTGGACAGGTGGGAACTGAGATGCGACCCAGCCTCAGCTCCACAAGGTGCAGTGGAAGCCTCTCAATGCACTCCAGAGCAAGTAGGAGTCACTAGGTGGGCTCATGAGGTCAGCAAGGGGCACATTCTTCCCCGTCCCACACACATCAGGATGAGAGCAATCAAGTGGCATGATAATCCAGGGAAGACAAGGAAATGAGCCTGGTCCCCTGCCGATTTCTCACATGATGGTTGAAGAAGGATGAGCCATGCAAATCAACAAGCTTGGGACCATCTCTGTTCCCAGCCTGCATGAAGCAGACCTTCAGGAAGCTGGTCCTTAGGAACCACTGGGAACCCACCCAGCCCAGATGCCACCAGCAGGGACAGGATAGGGCACAGCCCCACATGAAAAAGCCACCATGCTCCTCCATTGCTGTTTGGCCTGGGCCACAAGGCTTCCACCTCATAGACAGATCGAGTGCCTAACTGTCAGCAGCACCTACAAGGAGGGCAGGGAGTCCTCACAGAGTTTTTAAAAAAGCTTTGCAGCCTTGCCTGGGGCTTCCTCAGGCTATGTCTGGAGCATTCAGAACAAGGGCAAAGACTGATCTAAAGTACAACACCCAAGCCAGGTATCATACTCTACACAGCACCTGCCAAGCAGTACTGGTCAGAACTTCTTGAGCACTGCCCAAGTGCATACTCACACAACAGCTTGGGTGTCTGGGGGCTTCTGCCCCACGTAGCTGTAAGGAGCTGTCAAGGCACAGAGCTGGCATTCAAACATGCCCAGGGGGTGGGGCTCTGCCTCGGATGCCATCTGTAAGACCAAGAGAGGGGGCATCACCATCGGAACCAAGAACCATCACACTTCAAATCTGCTCTGCCTGCTATACATATCTCATCCACAAAATGCAACCTCCTGGACAAGTAAGCTCAAATCCAGAGCAAGTAACACCTGTTCAACGTCACCCAGGTGTATAAGATTGATTGTGCCTACTGGGTAGTGGTAGCATATGCCTTTAATCCCAGCACTCGGGAGGCAGAGCCAAGCAGATCTCTGTGAGTTTGAGGCCAGCTGAGCAAGATCCAGGACAGGAGAAACCCTGTCTGGGGGGTGGGGGGGACGACCATTAACTGTGCCTAGCCTGGGCTACAAAACAAGGTGAAATCAGAGAGTATGGTTTCCATTCCCACATACTTCAACTAGATAATTATTTACACTTGTTTATTTGGGGAGAGATCGTGCATCCATGGAATTCATGAAGAGGTCAGAGGACAACCTGCAGTAATTCTCTCCTACAGTATAGGTCCTGGGGACTGATCTCAGGTCATCAACCTTGGCAGCAAATGTCTTTAACCCCTGAGCCATCTCACCAGCCATAATTTTTAATTATATTTTTATTGACTGATTTTGTATAGGTATGCATGAGTGTATTAGTCAGTCAAGGTTCTCTAGAGTCATAAGACTTATGGAATGACTATATATGTATATACATATGAATTTACTGGAATGACTTACAGGCTATAGTCCAACAATGGCTAGCTATGAATGGAAAGTCCAAGAATCTAGTAGTTGCTTAGTCCCACAAGGCTGGGTGTCTCAGCTGGTCTTCTGTATATTCTAGAATCATAAAGCAGGCTCCAAGGCCAGTGAAGGAATGGCTTGGGCAAGCATTCTTCCACTGTCCTTATACAGACCTCCAGCAGAAGGTGTGGCCCAGATTAAAGGTGTGCCTTCCCGCCTCAAGATCTGGATTAAAGGTGTGCCTTCCAGCCTCAAGATCTGGATCAAAGGCATGTTGTCTTCTTGCCTCAAGATCCAGATCACAAGTGTGCCCTCCATTTCCGGATTGTAGTTCATTCCGGATATAGTCAAGCTGACAACCAAGAGTAGCCACCACAATGTGCCACAGAACCAATGTGGAGCCAGTTCTCACCGTTCACCATGTGGGATCTGGAGATTAAATTCCGGTCAGGCTTGGCGGCAAGGCACCTTTATCTGCCCAGCCATCCATCTCACCAGCCCCGATTTGGATAATTTCTATAGACTTCCTTCAAGTTCACTGGCAATTCACATCAACCCAGAGGCCCCTTGAAGGCATTCTACTCTCTACTGTTTTTCACTACCAACTCCTCCTCTGCTGAAATCCCCATCTGTGTATGCAAGTTATGGATCTTTTCCACTGGCATGATTAAGACGTTAGCGATCCTTTTTTAAAACCTCTCACCCGATAGTTCTAACATCTGAGCAATGTCTGGTTCTGCTCCTATTGATTATTTTGCTCCTTGGCAGCAAGGCGGTCTCCTTCTTCTTTCTTGTGTCTCAATCTGGGTTGTAAGCGGGACTTGTCTATAAGGTGGTAGAGGTGAAAACGGTATTTAGGGCCCGGAGTGGGCATGTATGCCAGGCCCATGCTGTTTACTGCTGACTTAATCCAGTGAGTAACTGAGGTGGGTTTGGCTTTCCTGGTTGTCCTTCTGTACGGGCTTCAAATTTCTCTAGCATGACTTGTGCTTAGAGGTTTATTGTGTGAGATTTATTGGTCTCTCAGATACTATTTAAGGACAGATTCATGTGCCTCCTGCACCTTCCCTTCACTGGATGCAAGAATCTTCACTTGCCCTAGAGCATACTTTCCTGCCCTACCCAAGTTGTCTGAAACTTTTGTTCCCTTGGAAGATCTAGGCAGATAAATTTACAGCAACCAGAGTCTTCTCCAGGTAGGCTTACAGGAAAGCTTTTAGACTTCCTGCTCTGCCCTCAGCCTTTCTCACCAGCTGGTGAAAAGCCCAGGGTGGGTGCGAAGTCCTTTTTTTTTTTTCCGTGGTTCCCCGGGGTCGAATTCTGGTCCACTTGGTGTGGCTGCATTCTTATCTGTTTGGATGGCACTCCTATTCTCATGTGTATCTAAGGTCTTGGAGGCCCTGCCTCTCTGTAGATTACTGGCTAAAAGTGGTCCGCCCACAACAACAGCTATCCGATGAGTTGAAGAAAACACGATTCATAGACCTTTTTACAGCGCTGTATCGAAATTCCTACCTCGACTTTCAAAGTTCCCACATAACCCATGAGCAGCCCCTGACCCCAGCTATGCCCTCCTCTACCCTGTCGGGTCCTGCAGAACGGGATTTGGAGCCAGAAGGAACAAGCCTTGGAAACTGGCCGGGGTTCCGAATGATGTCTAAAAATGAAAGTCCTATTTTGGGTGTGCGCGAACCTAGCTAGTTCTGTTTGGTATCTTAACTCGCACGTCGCAGGCCCTCGCCGAGGCTGCTGGGCGCGCTGCCCTTGCAGCAGGTGACAGTCAGGAGACAGTCCCAGGACAGCGCGACTCCGCCAGAGCCTCCGCCTCCCGCTCAGTCTCCCCGGGTCAGTAGCAGGGCTCCGCCTGGCGACCAGAGACACCTACGGCTCGGATCACACCCACCAGCCATCCTCGCGCAACCCTCCCCGCGCCCTGAGCCGGGTGTGTTGGGTCTAACGCCTCCCTCTCAGCTTCCAGAAGCGCCGAGGCTAGACCCAGCGAGCCCAGCCGTGGAGAAACAACGGTGCCGCTCTCCACGCGCGTCCCCGCCACACACGACCGCGCGCACTCACCACCACCCCGCCGAGAGTCCCACGGCGCCTGCGTGGCCCGCCCACAACACTAGCTCCGCCCCATGGCGCCTGCGCGGCCCCGCCCTCGATCCGCCGAGGCCCCGCCCTTGGTCTACAGTATCTGCGTGGTCCCGCCCCGTAGAGCGGGTGTGAGCCTGCTGAGGCCTCACCGCCTGCGCTGCCCTAAACCAGGGGCTCGCCTCTGAACTCGAGATTAGTCTAAGGAGCGTCCTTGTCCGGGTAGAACTTCACCAGCCGCTTCCGTTTCCACTGCAGATGTCTATAGAGGTTGTGGATCGCTGCTTGAGGGCTGTCTGGGCTTCTTCAGGACAAGGCGTACTGATGACGGGCAAAAATAAACAAAAACCGATCCTCCCCAGGTGTTGCTTGGTGAACCAGTGAATTTATTGGGGTTGTTTACAGGGCTGAAGGTGACTCAAGTAACTGCAACATTGAAAAGCCTACCCAATGGGGGTGATGACCTGCCTGAACGACTTCTCACCTGTCTCTCGCAGCAGTGGCTAACTTTCTCTAACTTTGGGAAGGGGCTTTGTGGATATTCTTTGTCTGTTTGTTTTGGGTTTGGTTTTGGTATTTCGAGACAGGGTTTCTCTGTGTAACAGAGCCCCCTGGCTGTTCTGGAACTCGTTTTGTAAACCAGACTGGCCTCGAACTCACAGAGATCTGCCAGCCTCTGTCTCTCAAGTCCTGGGATTGCAGGCGTGCGCCACCACGCCCAGCATGGGTATTTTTAAGGTGTAAGTTTGGTGAGTGTACTGATTCTTGTACATCCTCCTCTGACTCCAGGAGAGAATGCTTCCATCTCCAGAAAGGGACTGTGTAACACATCACTTCTTTCTGTGACTCTTATTTCTCCACCTCGTGGGTAATGTTCCTCGAACCTTGGAAGGGGTTACATAGAAGTCGGCTTACTTTCTTCCATTTACGATTGGGCATTGGACGGCTGTGCCACAGGAATAGGTATTTATGTACAGTTGTTTGACTGGTTGTGAGTCTCCTCAGTAACTACCACTGCAAAAAAGAACAGCAGCAGTCATCTGTGGGCAAGAAACACAAGCGTTTAGAAGGCAGGTTCACAGGCATGTCTGTTCACTTAAAAGAAGAGTGGTACTCTCCCCACCAGAGCCTACGACCGCCAGCCACAAGTTTTTGCCCATGTGTATGGAGCCAAACTGGGTTTCCTCCTGGGGAGCCTTAAATCCCATCAGAAAGTGTTGTCCACATCCATACCAGTGTGCCTCTGTTGCACCAGCAGACACACCTTGCCTGGCATGGTCATATGATGGAATCCATAACCAAATAGGACTAACCGGCAATAATTCCCCCTCAGCAGTTCAGCTCCCCCTTCAGTTTTAGCCTGATCGCTCCATGTCCTGCAATATATGAGTGTTTTCCTCTAATTTTGACATGCAACCACCATTAGTGGAAACTGCCTTTCTGGTTTCTGGGACTTAAAGGGTTTCTTTGGCTAGCAACTTATAGAGGCATAACCTGCCCTTGGCTGTGTGAGATTTTCTATCAACCATCTTACAGTGCTGGGAATGGTTTTTACCTGTGCGTGCAAGGAGCTTTCTTTACTGGTGTTGTATTGTTCTTCCAGATGCGTCTCCAAGGCACCCGATGGCTAACACTACATCATAGATGTAATAAAACCCTCTTACGGAAGATGGGCAGAATCTCTGAGTACCTGCCGTTCCAAGCAAGTACCCGTTGAGCTTGAGATTAAGCAGCAGAAGGATGTCTATAATAACAAAGCCATTGGCAACGTACAGTACAACACAAAACAACTGGACTGTTGAGTGCCCAGCCCTAAATGGGACATCTGTATCACTCCCACCCCCAACAAGGCTCAGCGAACATCTCAGAAGAGGGGTCAAAAGAGCATAAGAGCAGAGGGAGGACATTGTGAAATTCTGTCTTTAGGGCATGACATGGCTGTTGGCCTCATGAGTTCACAGCAGGTTGCCTGTACAAAACTACATAATAAGACCAAGCCAGTTAACATTCCAGCATGGATGGGGAGGGACTTACGTGGTGCCACCTTATCTGAGGAGTTACTGGCAACTGATGGCTATTAGGGAAAGAGAACTCATGTTTCTTTGGGAGTGGCCACTTATAGGTTGGTCATGGTCCTAAACCCATCCAGAGTAGGCAGAATTCTGGATGATGATGATGATGATGATGATGATGATGATGAT